GGGGGAGAAAGGTGAGGCCTGGTCAGAAGGCTTAGCTACCTGTGGGTTGACAGCTACAGTGATGACAGAAAACACACACTTTTGTGAGGATAGATTAGGATCAGAATGAGGCCAAATTCATGTGACAAGGAAGAACTACCAACTCCCATCATGTCCAGCAATTGGACCTGGCCAAACGAGCTACAGCTGGCTCAGTAGAAATGACACCATTGTTCACAGAGCCATTGCAGGCAACAGAATTAATACAGGCCGAATCCGGTGTTTGTGTCTGGCTGAGGGTTGTTATCTGCCACACATGGTCACAGACCTCATGTGTACACCTGGAATAAATGGAAGGGACAAAAATTGTGCAAAAAAGTAAACGAGGACCCAGTCTTTCAGAAACTCAGGCATATATTCAAGAGTTTTGTCATCCAAATTCAGAAATTCACAGAAAAGTATCTATGTGTCCACCCAAGAGACAAAGGCTGGCAAGGTACTGTGCCATTCTGTAAAGCTAGCCAAGGCTCCATGGCCAACATAACTCTCACAGTGGCATATGGCAGCCTGCACTCATGACTTAATTGCTGTCCAGTGCCCCTACGTTCCACTGCCATCACAGTGAAGATGATTCAGCATGGAAATTAGTGGAGGGCATTTAGAGCATAGCAATGACACGTGCAGTCTCTCTTTTGAATCCACAGAATTAGTTTTTAGTCACCAGATCTCATCTACTGACACAATCCCCATAAAAAACAAATATGCGTTTCTCCAACCAACTTGAGGTCCAGAGCCATGAATGAAAGAAGGCAGGACTTAGCACGTGACAAACTGAAATCATTGAGTTGCTGCAGTTAACACACTGACAAATGGGAGAGGACAGAAAACCATTAAGAAACATGTGGAAGGGTTCATGGTATAGCAAGCTAAAGCAGCTAAATATGAAAGAGAGAATAGTCTTCATACAGACCAGAAACGCCCCCCCCCGAAAAATAATAAGAATTACTGCTAAGCTCCAATAAATATTTCTAAGAATCTAGAACTTACGTTGCCAACGATAACAAGGAAATTGGCAGATGGTGGTGGAAGAATGCTCTTGAGATCTAGTAGAAATCCTTGCCTACTTGAGAGGAAGCCATCCATTCAAGACACTGTTAAAAATAAACAACAACAACACAAGTTTAACTATTTATATTATAAAATTAAGGAAAAATTATTGAAAAAGAAAAACAATAAATTGATTAAAGGGATGAGCAAATGCACAGGATGAAGAAACGTCAACCAACTTAACTGTGTCCTGTAGGAAAAAGGCACAATGAGTAGTTAGGATGTTCCTGGGATTGTAAAGACTCTTCTTATGAGCAAATCTATGATGGCAATGTGTCAGTATGTCAAAGGAAAGAAGATGGGCATCTCCACATGCCAAAAATTACTTCATACAGGGGAGATAGCTCAGTGGCATAAGTGCCTGCCTGACAAGTGTAAGGTCCCGAGTTCTATCCCTGGTACCACAAAAATGAAAAAATAAATAAATAAAAATTGTTTCATAAAATTTGGCACTTATCATCAATCAAACATACAAATTTCACCAACTAGATATTTTAAAAACTTGGATAAAGAGTATCTTAAATTTCTCCAACCAGTAAATTACCTTGGGCATCCCTATTCAAGTCAGTTCTAAGGAAGTCCACTACTATTTAATGCAGTTCTTTCTGGCCACTGTAATGGTAAGTGGGAGAAGGAGAAATCACAGGAAGAGATATTGAAATGAAAAAATAAATTATTATTGGTTTTAGAGTATATGATCTCGGTGTAGAAAATCCAAGAGGAGCAGGTAAAAAGCTGTTAACACAAAGTAGAAACTACAATAGGCAGTACAGAAGAAATTTAATTTTGAAAAATAAATCTAATTACCAAAAGAATCAGGCTGTTGAGTAAATTATGGTATCTCCATATAATTAAATATTACTATATGGCCTTTAGAGATGAGGAGTTGTGGATGTCGATCTTCCAAAGGATGCTTGAGTCCTGGGTCAATCCACAATGGAAGGCCTGCCAAACAGCTCCGTGGATTACAGTGTCTGCAAGCAGGTGCAGGGGCCAGGAATTCGATCCCAGGGCCTACTGTGCCGGCCCCGCCCCTGGGGCGCACTGAGATGGCAATTGAGACTGTGGCGCAGGCCTGTAATCCCAGCTCTTGGGAGGCTGTAAATAGGAGGATCACTATGAGTCCTATCTAGTAGTGAGCCCCTGAACACCCTGTAGACCCTTCCCTAAAATACAAAACAACAACAACAACAAAATCCACAATAGAAGACAGACAGGCAGATAAAGAAAAGGATAGAGAGAAAGTAGAGGAAAGTTTAATTCCTTGAAGAAATCCTCACTGTATATAAGTAGCTAAAACAGATTCATTTTTTTTATTATTTATTTATTTGTTTATTTGTGTGTGTGTGTGTGTGGCCAGCTCAGCCCACCAGGGGGCGGGGCCGGTCAGCATGTGGTGCTGGGGGATTGAACCACAGTCCCTTGTGCTTTGCTTAGCTTGTTCTAAGTAGGTGCTTTAGACCACTGAGCCATCTCACCAGCTCCAGATTCATTTTTTAAAGGACCAAAGTATGTAAACATTCATGAGGGAAAATCAGTAAGATACATATCAAGGTACACTACCTTATCATGATGAGATTATAAAGGGGTTATACCTGTACTTGCTCTTAGTTTCATCTGTATTTTTCAAATTTCTAACGTTCAAAATTAAGTAGAACATATCATTTGTTCAGATAATTTACAAAACATCAATAATTTATAATATAATGTCCAAATTCACAAAAAAGTAAAATGTATATTAAAACAAAATCACACATATCATGTAGGTGAGACGCCAATCCTGGATTAGAATGCAATTCAGATCATCTCTGGAAAGACAGCTGAGAAGAGTTTGGTAGGCGATGGACCAGGCATTAGATACTATTAAGAAATAAATGTTACTTTTAATGGTATTACTTGGCTTTGAAGAGAAATGTACTTTTTTGGCAATCCAAAATGAGCATTCAGTGCTCGCTTCGGCAGCGCATCTACTAAAATTGGAACAATACAGAGGAGATGAGTGTGGCCCCTGCGCAAGGACGACACGCAAATTTGTGAAGCATTTCATATTTTTAAAACTTCTGATTTTATCAGAAAGTCTGTGGTCAGCTGGGCGTTGCAGGGCACACTGTAATCCCAGCACTCAGGAGGCTGAATCAGGAGGAGCACTGCGTTCAAGGCCAGTCTGGGCTACATGCTGAGACCCTGCCCAAAATAAAAAAGTATTAACAAGATGCAGACTTTAAGCATTAGATACAGTGAGCATTTTTAGTAAAATAATGTGATTTTCACTGCTAAAAAAATAAGCATTCAGGAACAAAATATCAGTTCTATAATTTACTTTAAAATATTTTTTTGGAGGGAGAGAGGGTGGGAGGGGAGGACAAAAAGAAGGAAGGGAGGGGAGGAAGATCAGGCAGGCATGAAAGTCAATATTGGCTGCTAGGAAAGAGTCTAAAGCAGATATCTGGTTGGAAGGCACCTTTGAAAGCTCCATGTATACAACAACTTAGATAAGAGAGACAATATATCAGTGATCCACTTCAAAACAAGAGCTGAAGCCAGAAAGCTAAGTCCAGAGAGAAGAAGAGGAGAAAACAGTGAAACGAAATCCCAAAGAATTTTATGTAACAATATAATTTAACTATAATTCAAATAATCCTTCTTTCTTCTACTCTTATTGCAGCACGTAATTTCCAAATCTGCTCACTGATGAAAGCCTATCAAAAACAAATGAACAATTGGATAACCAGGAAAAATGGGTCAAACATGTGTCTTCTAAGGAAAATCTCTGAAGAAAGAGCTCCAAGTAGGAATGAAGAGTTAAAAACAAAAGAAACAGAAATGAAGAACATTGTTATGAGGGTGGGGATTTGAAATAAAGGAGTGGGGGGCAACATGGAAGAAAAACCCCTGAAAAAAATATATATATTTTTTTGGAACCGGGGATTGAACTCAGGCCCTTAAGCTTGTCAGGCAAGTGGTTATTCTACTGAGCCATCTCCCCAGCCCCTACTTTAAGATTTTTTAGCATAAAAGATAAAGTGCATAACATAAGAATTTTTGTTCTTCAAGAGTTTTTTAAATGTGTGACTTATACTGAGCATCTGAAAAGAATAGACACTTCTCAGATAAAGAAGGGCACCTCTCTGGAGCTAGGCTGAGCCCTGGTCACCGGGAAGACTGCTGCAGGACCAGATGGGCCCTGCCCTGCCCCTCTCACCCTTGTTGGAGCTCAGCTGAGCTGCAGCTGCCTCTTCTGCCATGGCTGTTACGATAGCCCTGCTGAGCTATGGCTGCCTGTCCCACCACTAGACAGAGCCTTGGTGAGCCCTACCTCGCATGCATCTGCTATGGAGAGAGCCTTGCAGAACTGCAGCCTGCCCTCATCATCACTGGATCTTTCTTGAGCTGCAGCTTGCCCCTCACCTCCACCAAGGCCAAGCCACACTGAATCCCACACAGCAGGAGCTTTTTTGAATCTGCCCTGCCCTCCCACTCACCTGAGGGCCTTGCTTAACTGCACTCCACCCTCCTACTATCACTGCAGAGTCAGGGAGAACATTGGGAGCTTCAAAAATGACAAAAGGAAGGAACAAAAGGCAATCTCAAACCTAGAGCTCAACTAAA